CTGAGGGGCTGCAGTGGAGAGGGGAGCGTATCATGGGCTGTTCCCCCTGCACATGAATTTGGGGGTGCCTCTCTCCGACGGCTGTGGCTGGAGCACTCCGACTGCCTGCTTTGCTGCGCTCTGGGATTTGAAGCAATGCCAGTAATGGAGGCACCTTGCCATGGCGGGCAGGCTCTGGCGAAGCCGCATGTTTGGCCGTGTAGGTGCCAGCAGGGATCCTTGTGCAGTGGCCTGGCTCTCCCAGCCCGGGAAGCTGCTTGCTTTGGCTGCAGAGTGGCCAAGTGACCCTTGTGGCCTGGGCACGCAAAGGATTGCAGCTCAGAGGGCAGAAGGACAAGGTCATCTCGTTGGGCCTGCGCTCCCGTAGCAGGGGCTCTGCACGTAGCTCACAAGTGTGCGTGATGGATTCCAGCCCTGGGTGTGATTGCTAAGCCGTGGTCGCAAACCCCGGCCGCTGGGACTTCGCTCTTGTCTCCCAGCCCTGTCCACAATCAGCTCTTATTTAGCAACGCAGAAAGACATGTGAGATCATGACTTTCTTGCGCTTCCCTTGCCTCAAGGGCTTGTAACCTCGCTGTTAATGTCTGCTCTTGTAGCTGCCGTTGTGTGCTTCGCTGAGGCCTTGAGCTGCCTCCCTGTGGCTGACGGATAGCAAGGGTCTGTCTAACAACTTGATAGTTTGGGTTGGTGTTTACTTTGGGCTTTAGACCGGTGCTTTTTTGCGCCCTGGCGTCTGGCGGTAAGTGCAGGCTTACCCCACCTTGCGTGGCTGGTTCTGCCTCCCTATTTGTGTCGGTGTCATAGCACTACTGGGGTATACGGAAACGTGTCCGTTAAGAGCCCATCTCTAGCCTGAATGCCCTCCGAGTCGTCAGGAGTTTGCTCTGACTTCTGCCGTGAGCCTATGGGAACGGGCTGGCTTGTTGAGGCTGTGTCAGAGGGTGGTCCGACGTTGAGTGGTGTCTCCCGGCTTGGGCATCGCTCTGTCCTTCCCTATATAAATTCAATAGCAGCGAAGTGCTTTCAGATGGCACACGTGAGATCGCTTAGACATTCTGGAGTGGTTTGGAAAACGTTTCACAAGACCAGACGTAGTCTGGGATGCTCAACTTTTATTGTTATAAAATATTGCGGGAGGTTTTTCACTTGGGTTTATGGCTCCCATGAAATGTTGTGGCTTATACGAGTTTCAGAACGAAGCTAGCAACCGGCTTTGTAACGTCGTGTGAGTGGATCTGTTATGAACTCCTCATGTTTTGTGCCTGTTAGCGTAGGCGATTCGTTTGTAGCTCAGAAAATAATTGGCTCATCTGCAATTACAAAATTGAAGCTGCTCCTTAGGCTCATTCTAGCCTCCTTTTCCCTGGTGTGAGGTATTGATTTTGCTGGAGTTGCTGCTGTTTCAGAATAGTATGAGATAAGAATTGGTTTCTTGGCTTTTTATAGCCCTGGGTAACAACCAATTCCCTCGGCTTAATGATGCCTTTGGGGATTAATTATTCTTGCTCACATCCCAAATACAGGACAACAGTGGTCTGTTGGCAAGGGAAATGGGGAGCATTAACTCTCTGATCTGAAGCCGCGTAGAGCTGCAGGCAGCCGCTGCCTTTTGTCGTGGTGGGCAGGGGATAGTGCAGCCAGCTGCAGCCATCCGTCCCCGCCAGAGCCTGACCCTCAGCTGCAAGAGCAGCGGGTTCCTGAGGGTCCCTTGGCACTCGGGGCACCCTAATTTCACAGGCTCATTCCTTCTCTTGCAGCCGTGTTACCTCCGCGACTGGGAGATGCAAGTCCATTTTAAAATCCATGGGCAAGGCAAGAAAAACCTGAACGGAGATGGCTTTGCCATCTGGTACACCAAAGACCGCATGCAACCAGGTAAAAACACTGCCGGTAGCTGTGGCTGCGCCTGATGCTGCCTCTGAACCTCAGGTCTCCGGACTGGAGATTTACAGGGTCCTGGGAGACTGGAGTCATCAGCTCGGCAGTTGCCAGCTTTGGGATTGTTTTGCTGTGATCTCACTATGAGGCGCAGAGCAGTGTAATGGGAGCTGTGGGGCCTCCTGCTCTGGGAGTCAGCTCTTTGAACACCAGATTGGGTAGGAAGCTGAATTCTGGTCCAGCAAAGGGTAGGACCCTTCTGGCTTTCCTGTAGCACAGGGGGTCTGTGTCCTTTCTTAACGGTTCAAGGCTGCATGGAGCTCTGTAGCGCCTGGCTCTGCTCTCTGGCGTTTGAAGCCTTGTTCTGTGGTACGATGTGGCTCCATCTTACAGAAGCGGGTGAAGGCTGGGGAGGAAAGAGCCCTCCCTGGTGATCCCCCATACAAAGATAAATAGAAAGATTTTTAAAATAAGACTTGCGTATGGGTTTTCTGCAGAGTAACGTGACCTGAGGGTAAATCCCTCCCCGTGCAGTCTGGAAAGCACCTGCCTTGTTATCTGATGTGGAGAACAGCATGAAGGGACAGACAAGCAAACCCTTCCTAGCTTTGCTGCTGTTACTCATAACCTATCTTTCCTTCTAGGACCCGTCTTTGGAAGCAAGGACAACTTCCTGGGCCTGGGAGTGTTTGTGGACACCTACCCAAACGAGGAGAAGCAGCAGGAGGTGAGCTAGAAAGGCTAACTGGGACTGTGCTGCTCGCCAGCTGCCTGTTGAGTGTGGCATGGGCGGCCAAGGACAGAGCTGGCTCAGCCCCCAGGTTGTTGCTTGCCTTGCACCTAGCGTGACTGTGTGGTGGGGTGTCAGTAGCGCAGAGATTTTTGGGGCCTCTTAAACACTGGAGATCAGCTGGGTACTGGCAGAAGCTGCTCTGCTTCCTTTCCAGTGTCTTTCCCTGCTGTGCTCTGTGTAGTTGGTTTTTATTACCTCCTCCTAATTCCTAGTGAGGCTATAACCCTTCAGACCTGTGAAGGGCTGCAGATTAGATTTGTTGTCAGCTTTATGCAGCGGAAAGGCTTTGAAGGTAAGAAAAAAAAATTAACTGATCATGCCACCCCTGTGCCACCCCCTGCAGGCCCTTTCTGCGAGCTCTTGGCACTTTCTGAAGGCTGTCAGCAAGTAGCAGCTGAGGTGAAGCCGTACAAAAGCGAAGTCTTTGTAGACTTTGGGCAGAGCAGTATCTGAGCTGCCAGTCTGTGATACCTCCTGCCCAGGCCTTCCTGCGTGGTGAAACAATTTTATGGCGGCTAGTCCCCGGGATGATTTTCCTGCTCTAAGGGAAGCAGTGTGACTGCACTCTGCAGGATTTTTTTTAAAGGTCTTGGGACACTGAACCGTGGAAGGTTACGAGCAAAACGTGCACGTGTCTTTGAGAAACACCCGCCTGAAAGACCTTTGGGTTCCCGATGAATCGGCTGTTTGTTTGGGGTTTGTTGGCGTTTGTTTCTGTGGAGAAAGGATTGCAGAGGCAATTAAAACTAGGCCTCACCCTCGCTGCTCTTGGGATCCGTTTTGTCACACTTGAAACAAAGCTGGACGTTTTCATACTTCCAGCTTCTCTTAGGAAATCGACGCTATTTTTTTTTTCTGAGACCTAGTTAGTTTGATGTTAAACCCCCACCCTACAAGAGCTCATTTATTCTTCAGCTTGGTCGCAGGGCGAGAGAGCCGAAGGGCTCAGTTCGGATGTGCCCTGACCTTGGAGCTGCTAAACAAATGTTGAGTAACTACCAGCTTTTGTTCAAACATTAATAGCAGCCTGCTCTGGCACAGGGATGGACTTTGTGCTTGAAAGGCTTGGGTAAGGTCTTTCCGAGCTGTCTGGCACAGCATTAGTGACAGCCCTCAGGGATTAGTGTAATGCTGGATAGGAGAGGCCATCCTGTTGATTTGCAGGGCAGCGGCTGTTCTTCTCTGAGGTAAAGGGACGTGCAGCAGGTTGTGTTTAAAAGAAGAAATAGTCTGCAGAACGCGTGTGTCCAGTCTCCCAGCACAGCAGAGTCTGGGGGTCTGCGAGTGGAGGGGACTGCTCTCTGTGACCAGAAACAAACAACACGAAGGGAAGGAGATGGAGAAATGCTGACCAGCCAGTTGCTCTAATGGTGTGTGGGATCACAGCTGCTTTCCCCCTCCTTTTAAAGGAGGGCGGAGGGGAGGAAAAAAGCATTTTATTCTTGAGGGATGAGGGGCAGATTAGCAGTGGGACCCTTGGGAGCAGGGGCCTGCTGGGGAACCATCAGTGGTGGCTGACAGGTCCCCATATCGCAGCATGTGCTCGGGGCACTGGCTTTGCACGAGCGAGCTGCTGCGCTGCGTGGTGGTGGTGGTGGTAAGTGCAGTATGTTGCAACGCTTGATGTGGCTTTCTTCCGTCGATGGTGTTTCCTGGCCGTGTGGCCTGAGGTTTGGGAGTCAGGTGCCAAATCCATCTCTACTTCAGCCTCTGCTAAGCAGATAGTGCAGTGAGCTGTCTTGGGAGGAACTTTCCAGGGTGCAGGTTAATACTAAACTCTGGTCTGTGACTGTCTTGCTTCTGTGCTCTTTCTTGCTTTGCGATAATCCTGGACTCTCAGGCTCAGAAGAGGAGGTACAGCCCAGGAAATCAGGTACTTGCTCTTGCTGTCCTACCCTTTTCCAAGCCATTTAGTTTCACCTTGTCTCCCTGTCTGTATAACTCCTGCTGTGTGGATGAACACAGGGAGGTAATTCCTTCATCAGAGCTCCGGAAATCTTTATGTGACCAGGGAGTTCAGCTACTGCCAGCCTGGGAGACAGGCCCAGATCAGCCCTGTTGCCTCAGCCCCCAGCAAGCATACTGTGACTTTTGATGATGGCAAAGTGCATGGAAACAGTTTCTCTTCCATCGTGGACCTTTGGGAACTGAGGCCGACCTGGAGAAAGGCTGGGGAATGGAGAGGGATCTTGCTGTCTTCTGCTGCGACTAGTTGAGGGAGGCGTGGGCTGGGGAGTGAAGCAGTTTGGGGGGACTGTTGGGTCGTGGCTCTCATCTGCATGTCAGACCCTGAGATGTGCTGTGATGTTTGCCCAAATCTGTCTGCATTAGGCGAAGCAGCTTTTGGACCATGTGTGCAGAGCAGGCAGCTCTGCAGTGGATAGAGCTGCCCGATGGCTGGCCGGGTGAGAAGAGAAACTCATCTGTGACCTTGTTCCCTCGCAGCGTGTGTTCCCCTACATCTCGGCCATGGTGAACAACGGCTCTCTCACGTACGACCATGACCGGGATGGGAGACCTACAGAGCTCGGGGGCTGCACGGCGATGGTGCGCAACCTCAACCACGACACCTTCCTGGTGATCCGCTACGTGAAGAGGAGACTGACGGTGAGCGCTGCCTGCTGGAGCACCCTGCCTTGGGGCAGAGCGGGCAGTGGGGCCCAGCCGATCGCCTCCGGGCTAAGGGAGTCTCTTGTGTTTCAGGTGATGATTGACATTGACGGTAAGCATGAGTGGCGAGACTGCATCGACGTGCCAGGAGTGCACTTGCCCCGTGGGTACTACTTTGGGACCTCTTCTGTCACTGGAGACCTGTCAGGTACTGCTGGGGGGGGCCTAAGCCCTGTTTTCCCAAGTGGCTCTGGCAGCTCTTACTCACTTTTGGGTATCTAAAGGTGCTGCTTGGTACGTGGTGGGGATTCGCAGAAGTGCTTGAGGACTTTTTCATGCTTTGGCACCCCTAATCTGCGAGCAGGAGCCTCGTTCTTTTGTCTTGCAGCAACTCTAGGAGCCAAAATCCCCGTCGGGGTGTGGTGTTCCTCTGAGCGCTTTGTCTAGGCAGCGCTTCCTGCTTTGCTTGGAGCTCCCTTTGCGCCTGGCTTAGGCCTGCTGTAACCTCTGGCAGGCTGCGGGCACACGGGCCAGCCTTCGCCGGCCTCTCTTAATGCCAGGACAGAGAAGTGGGTCTGTCTCCACCGGCGACTGTAAACAGGTGCTTTGGGAGGAGTAAGAACAGGTTTGAGCATTGAACAGCTCCTCCACTACTCTTGCTGTGGGACCCATAGTGCCTGAGTTAGCCCTGAAGGTGGTGTTGGAAATGCTACAGTCACTGCAAACACCTGGAGTGTTAAAACACCAAGATGCTTGCCCTGCTGTCTGCCTGTGACTCTGGGACATGCCTGGAGTGTTATTTTGCATAGTGCTTTGAATTTCATAACCCGAGAGCTATCATCCCATCTGTTGTCACGGAGGGGACCAGCCAGGTGTGTTTGGAAACAGTGGTGCAATGTGGGCTGATAGAAATCAGATTTTACAGAGAGCTAAAGCACCCTGCCTTCCCTGGTTTAATACTTTCCCCCCAGTGCTGCTTGCGGTGCTATGAGGCCTGAAATTACCCTACTGTGTCTCTTTCAGCAGGTTTTAAGCCTGATTTGAATTATGCCTCTACAAAAGCACATTGATCGCCAGTGTCTGGGCCCATTGTTGGCTCCAACAAAAGTTCCTTTTCTTTCTCAGATCTCTGCCTAATGCCTTGGGAGCTGGCAGGCTGGCGTTGGAGCACTTACGTTGTCCCACTAATAACTCTGCGATCGCAAGCAAAAGGAAATAGGGTCATGTGAGGTTGATTCTAACATATTCCCTTTGGGTGGCCGAGCGGTTTCAAGTCAGATGATCTCCTGGTCTGGGCTGTTGTTTCTCAGTTTAAGTAGCTTGAAGGTTCCTGTTGGAAGAGGGCCCTGTGCTGGGCACAGCTCGCGGCCCAGCACGAACCCTGCCCTCAGGAGGTGAGTTACCCCCGCCTTGTAGAGGAGATAGTCAGCACCTTGGGGCTGTTGCCCAAACCATAACACCCCGCGGTGCTGTCAGTGACTGCCCTGGCCAGAGCCGTGATTGTGGGAGACCTCTCAAGACCTGTTTCTGCTCTGCCTCCAGACAACCATGACATCATTTCGCTGAAGCTTTACCAATTGACGGTAGAGCGGACGCCGGAGGAGGAGAAGCGGGACAGAGAGGTGTTCCTGCCTGTTGTGGACAACCTGAAGCTGCCGGGAAGTGAGTAGGAGCTACTGGCCTAGAGCAGGGGGAGATTGAGGTCCCCCTGGCCTGGTTGTAGGGATGGGGGGACCTCCAGAGTTGTAGAGCTGAGGTGTTCATGGAGCAGAAACGTGACCTCTCCAGCAAACCAGCCGAGCTCCAGCTGGAATCGAGAGGTCCTTGCCCAGTTGTTGTGCTGCCATGCTCCTCCCTGGTGATGGGAGGTTTGGGGCAAGCTGGTCTCCCAGCATCGAGGCGGTCTTGCAGGACCATCAGCCTCTCGCGCCAACCTCGGTGACCTTGTGGAGGGCAGCGCAGAGCGCTTGGAGGGTGCCACGGGCAGGGTGCCATGCAGGAGGCTGCAGAGATGCATCTGAGAGCCCGTATGTGCCCTGAGGTCTTGCAGCCCCACAACAGCTCTAGTCCATGTGATGAGTTGCCCCGTGTAGCTTTGAGAAGCCAAACCCTGCCGTGGCGTGAGCCTGGCAGGGTGCATGGGGGTTACCGGTGCATTGGTGCGGGATGAGTAGCCACCGAGTGCAGGCGAATCTCAGCTGGCTTTTGGGCCCGGCTCTGTGCTGGACTCTTTGGGGGCTCACAGGCTGTTTCTGCCCTGCTGTTCTGTAGTGGAGGCCCCGCTGGAACCCATGAGCGGCCTGGCTCTCTTCTTAATCGTCTTCTTCTCCCTTGTCGCTGTGGTTTTTGCCATTGTCATTGGAGTCATTGTCTACAACAAGTGGCAGGAGCAGAGCCGGAAACACTTCTATTGACTTGGGAACCTGCCCGGGATGGCCCATTGCTAGTCTTTGCTAGCCGCATCCCAACTCCCACCCATCCCAGACTGTCCGGAGTGTGATGGACTGAACCTTGCGGCAGGGACCCTCATGTCCCCTGAAAAGCCCAGTGGGGACAGCTGCTGTTTCTTTTGTCAGGCTCCAGGACTCCCGCGCTGCTCCCAGTGGGAAAGGGGATCCCCAGCGCAGCGTGTGGTGGACTGAGAGCTGTGCGTCGCTGGGACAGACCTGCCGTCCCCCCGAAGGCCTGTTTGGAGCAGGAGCTTTGCTTAGTGAGACGTTTAGGAGGACGGGCTGGGCTGTGGGGCGCTGGCAGCACCGAGCCGTTTCTCTGCAGCGTGGGGATACCTGAACGTGGCTGTGAAATCCTGACTGAGCAAGACACCAGCCGAACAGAGCCCAGCGAAGCACCCGCTTTCCTCGCCAGGCTCGTACAGCAACCCTTTGCAGTGGCTTGTCCCGAGCTGTTTCACTACCAATCAGGATTTGCTACAGCAGCATCTCCTGCTGTACAGGGTCACTGGGTGCAGACCATACTCCTCCTCGCTGAGGAGCGCAGTGGTCTGTTTGCCTTTGGAGAGGGCAGTGCTGCGCCGCAACGCTTGCCCTCTCTGCCGTGTGTTGAGGCACCCGACAGCCCCTCCTCGGCGAGGGTGTCTCTCCCAAGCTCTTAATCCTGCTCAGGCAGCGACAGCTGCTTTCTGTCGCCTGCCTTAGGCCATCTTTGGAGACTGAATTGCTTTTGTTTGTACCTTGAGTTGTCCCACCGCCATGCAACCCCTCTCTTAGTCACCACGGTTTGCTGTCCTCGGGCATCAGATGCCTGGCGGTTTTTCCCGGCGGCGAGGCAGGCTGAGCTGGGAACCTGCCTGGCTGCTGGGCACCGGCATCCCCGTTTTGAATTACCGATTGCTGCTGCGTCTCGGGGCTCAGCCCCTTTCCCTGCTCGGCAGGGCCGCTGCTGAGTGTGCCGCCACCTCTGCGTGCCTCCCGTCCCAGCGCGGCCGTCTGCACCAGTGCTGTTTGCATGTCGTGTTGTGGCTTGTGGCCGACTTTCCAAGGGGTCGGTGCTCCCTCCTTCAGCTGGGTGCCGGTCCTGGGCCTTGCCGAAGGCTGCGGCTGCTGAAGAGCTGAGCCGTGCGGGGCGATTTAGGCTCCGGCCAGCCTCTTGGAGCCGTAGCTCTCGCTGCCTTTCAGGGAGTTGTAGTTCATTCCTACCTCAGTGACTGCTTTTTTTTTTTTTTTTTTTTTTTTTTTTTAA